GGTTTTAATTATCTATCTATCTATCTATCTATCTATCTATCTATCTATCTATCTATCTATCTATCTATCTATCTAATGTGATTTATCCCTACCTCAATCCAAGTAGTTTGTATTGAATTGGTTCAGCCCTTAGAAATGTGTGCATTTATGCCGTTAAGATAAAAAAAGGCATAAGAAAGGCAAGAATTTATCTGCTAACCACAAAGATGCCAGCACACTGGCACTTAAAACATTTTGGTTACAGATCGACTCTTCATTTTTAAGTTAAACATCTTTTGTTCTTTTTAAACAAGAATCTGCTCGATTCTTTTCAAAGCAGCAGCTTTGCACAGGCTTAATATGGAGCAGGAATTCTGTGTTTTGGTAGAGTTCTTGCAGTAAAACACACCCAGTGAATGGAAAGTGAACAGAGCACATGACTCCAAATGTCAACAGTTTTATTTGCTACAAATGAAAACATTCTATTACCCCCAGCCATCCATTATGGCTGAAAATAAGTCACTTGGTCAGATTTTTTAAAAAACAATTTGGCACTGAAACAAAGCCATACAGTTCCAGGTAATATTTTCTCTTCTGAACAAATAAATAAAAAAAAGTAGTGAACACAGAACTTCTCCAAGCATAGCCAGCTAGCCAAAATGCTGCAAATCTTAAATAGCAGGAGCAAACTTTCTAAAGTCTGCTCAGATTGCTTTATTATGAAAATTCTTTTACGAGGAAACTAAGGAGAGGAGAGGGAAAGTGAGCACACTAAAGAATAGATGTAGTTAATCCTCTTTCAAAGAGATTGTGAAGACAATGCATGTCTTGGGTTGAATTTTCAACAGAATCCGGCACAACCTCCACATCCTCCCTCAGACAAGAATGCGGAACAGCATTAATCCTGTAAAAGGATCCTGGAAGACACATAATACTAAGTTTCCTGGCAACAACAAGGAAAGGGAGGCCTAGTCTTGCATCCCAAAGGCAGAAATGTTAGAGCTCTCCCATCCAGCCACAATGAACTCAAATTCCTTCTTAGCCATAAAGGGAGAGAGAGGCAGAGGGCATTCAACTCTTCCAAAAGATGGTTGTATTTTTAAGGCATACCCTTTTAAGACATACCATTCTCAACAACAAAATCATTTGGACTAAGTGTCCCAACTAATGATGATAGAATGAAAAGATGGTTAACCTGCTAGGTTGAATCTTAACTTGGAATTCTAAAAAGCAAATTCACTTATTCTTGTTAAAGAAAGGATAGTTTTATCAATCACCTGAGATTCAGTTCACTCAGATGGAATTTCTTTGCATTTCAATGGGTTACAAGCAAAAACTGAGGTGTGTGACTTTGCCCTGGTTCTACTGCTATGAGTATTACTCTTTCTTTCATGTGAAGCTATTTTCAGAAAACTAAGTAGTACAGAAGTATTCATCTGATATTTACACATTAATGTTGGCCACCTTTCTACTGGAAAAGTCTTTGATTCTTTCTTTGGAAGAATGGCCAATTACATTTTGGGAACATTGGTCCAATTTTTGAAATAACTTCGTATATAAAAAGTAACTCTGATGCAGAATTTAATCCTAACTGGAAACCTTTCTTGGATTATAATGTTATATATGGATTTGTGCAACATCCAAAATTTGGCTTCTCTTATCATTAGAATTGCTTCTTCATTTGATCTATACCTTTCAATACTGATCTAATGTATTGTCTACTGTTTATAGCTTTCTTAGTGATTTGAACTGTCTTAACAAAGTACTGTACGTTCACTTGAAAATTCAGTAGGAATAATTACTGGTATCCTATTTCCTGTTTTTTGATATGTTTTGTATCTTTCTCACTTATATCCTTTTCATTTATACTCTTTCAAATTATTTAATAAAATTAATAATAGACTAAAAAAAAAAGTTGGCCACTTCCCACATATGCAAGGTCACTGGGATTGTGGCCACAGCCTTGAGCTGTCTTGTGATCCTTGACTGCATCCCCACCATTTCCTTCCTCTTTAGGATGCGCTGTTGCTTTTTAAAGGAACGTTCCATTTCCAAAATATAAACCAATTATATGAATCTATCATGAATCATCTCTTGCAACAAAAAGATCAAAGAGGTTAGAAGCAGGCCTGCCTTGCAAGGGATAAACTTAGCTCAATAGTAGTATGAAGTGTGATTTTTTTCCTGCAAGCTGAGGGCCACACCTAGCATTTGAGTAATATATAAGGATCCATACTTTCAAGAACTGAGATGAAGCTCCGACAGAAATAAACACCCTCGCCCAATATCTGAAATGTAATTAAGTAAAATAAATTCTAGAACAATTCAAGAGCATGATTACTTCCTATCTATTTCATACTTTTCCTCTTTCTTATACAAAAAAAATCTGGCAGCAAAACTTTTCAAAGAACTCTGGATGCTTTGGAAGGAAAAAAGATTATGTTAGCAGCTCATGAAAGATTACGAAAAGAGAGAAAAATATGAAGGAAAAGCCTTCTAGTTACAGATTTTGTTTCATTCACATTTGTCAGCCTTCTGCAATCTCATGTCTTCTAAATTAAAATGTCCTACTCAACTAACATGTCTAATTAAGAATTTGTTTTAAAAACTATAGGAGTCAACTAGTCTGGGGGGGGGGGGTAGGGAGAGACACAAATGAACAACTAGTGCAAGGGAGGTCTGCAGCAGAGGATAGGAAATAGTATCCTGCAGAGGCTTTGATTCACAACACCAATAAGCACATGGGCAATGAACTGCATCACTATAAACAACTCCAATGGTCAGTGATTTTGAGATTGTGGTCCAAAGTATCTGGAAAGCAGCAGCTTTCCTTTCTCTGGTTTATACTGTACAGAACTAAGTGCAAGCCTCTTTCATTAAATGGCCTTTGTGCTAAGTTCAAGGGTTCAATCTCCAACTCTTCCCACCTCACTGCCTCACCATTTGGATAGGTTTCTGGAATGTGCATTGTTGTTGGGCAAAGCCTTTTCTGGTAAACAAGTAGTTGCCTTCTCTCAACCTATAAAGGTCCTCATCAAATCCATTTCTGAAATCTGAAACCCCAAACTACACTCTCAACTGACTCAGAAATGTTTCCTCTAAGCTAGGCAGAATTGCCCTAGAAGTTTAGAAATTAAGATTGCATGAAGTGATCAGAGCTGCTGGTGTTGAAGCACCACTTATACCCTCATTCTCAGTACAGTTGTCCAAGAATACATCTCCCAGATTCTGTTCAGAAAAGAGACAGATCTTTGAAAATGGCCCAGAAAAAAGGGACAAGTACCCCTGAGTTATGTTCCATGTCTTATTGGGACGATACTAAAAACTACAAGCTGCAAAGCCAGTTGTTCATATGAACGTCCCTAATCTGGTATCTTCAACATGTATTGGACTACTGCTTTCATCATCCTGAGCCAACATAGCCATAGGCTGTATTGGTTGCACGTTGTGAGACCTGCGATCCAACATACCAAAGACACTAATTTAACAAAGACTGGTTTTTACTTTTTCTGCTACAAATTACATACAATATGCTGTTAAGATTCAAATTTTGTGCCTTCTGTCAATCTCCTTTCCCTCCCCCAACATGGTATTTAACTATGGTGTCCTAACTCATATGGCTCCTCTTTAACAACTTTGATCCTAGAAAAGTTCACATTCAATATTGAGAATAAAGCACTGTATACTATTTGATGATATACTGTATATGCAAGAATAATCAATATTGTATATCTTTACTGATTTTTACTGAATCTACCATATGATGGAGGGCCTGAACGGGCATGGACTAGAATATTGGAAAGTGGGCTTTAAGACAATCAGCACCATATTCTACTTAAAGACGAGTTGGAATATACAGCCATTTTGTAGAATACAACTGCAAATTATGATTGCAGGTGGACAATCTTTATCACCAGTCAGCTTTATTTGATTGTTACAATTTGGTCTGAGTGCTCACTTCAAATGTGGCTTTAATTATGGTTTTGATGAGAAAGAGATCTTCAACAGGTAATAAAATTTTGCCAGGTGCTTTAGAATCAGTTCCGAATTCTATACATTGCCTTATTCCTAGGAAATCATGCCTTATATCTGGCTGACAAAAGTCCCCCGTGTTTGCTGCTTTCCTAGGTTTTGGGGTTTTTGGGGGGGGGAGAAGTGGAGTGGGGAATTTCTATTTTAAGAAAATCACTCTGCTTTTCTTAACACACAGCTCAACCCCTTGACTGTAAGTACTATATTCTGTTAGCAAAACTATAGAAATCTAGACTTCCAGTTTTATCTGGCGGAGAGCCAAGGACTAAAAGCTACTCTCCCTGGCTTATAGATACAGAATAACAAACA